GCCCTTTCTCCTGTCCCTTCATAACAGTGAGTAGAATCTTCTATTGACCATTTCACAGGAACTTCACAATTTTCTCTCTTCAGGTCTGTCTCCAACTGAGAGAGTTTTTTTTTTTTAATCTAGGATGTAAATACTCCTCCTTTCTCTACCCAAAATGCCTGTACAATGCCTGGCTTATGGGGGTCTCACCTTTAAGACCCAGCTCAGGTATCACATGCTAATGAACATAGGATGCTGCCTCCCATCTAACACCAACTATGGTAGAGACAGTCATTCACTCTTTCAGGTCCTCGACCCCCACCCACCCTGACATTCACACCTGCCTGTCTTCTCCTTTAAGACTATCTCCCCTACTAGGCCAGCATCTCCTGGAAAGTAAGACTTTTGTTGATTTTTGTTTATTTTCTTCATAGACCCAACAACTAATGAATCTCCTGGTCTATCTTTTCAGATCCTTAATGTGCATTTGTTTCACTGTCAAATGAATATACAGCATGTATATCCACATCAATTAACACAACTAGTTAAAAACTCAAAAGTTTAAAGTGTGATTTGAGCTGTAGTAAGAAGGATAAAAAAGAAAGACTTTCACAAGAAAAAAAGCAGCACAGACAAATAAATATATGGGTATGAATATCTCTGCCTACTGTTAAGACTGATAAGCTGTGGGCCTTACAGTTTCAGATGAACACTTTAAAGTTTCTCGTTTTGGCCTGTCCAGACCACAAGACAAATACTATGGCACATTATTCCTGTAAGTTCACCCTAGCACCACCCCAAGAGAGTGCCTCCTTAAATTTTGTACCCTGGTAGCTGCACTGGCCTCATGCCTCCCTTGAGAGAAGGACTCAATCTTGAATTGACAGTTATTAAATACTTAAATATTTTAAAACCCATTGTGTTCGATGAGGTCCCTTCCCCTTCTGGCGTGACCATGCTAATTACAGCATGCTCTGTGTATAATGTGTCCCGTTTTGACATACCAGGCAGCAAATGTGGATATGCTTGGAATCATTCTTGACTCTTCCCCCTCCTCTCATATAACTAGCAGAGTGGTGGTGAGACATCTTCCATCTTGTTTTTCTATGAAAGGGTGAAGTTAGGGGGAGCAGAACAGGAGAGAAAGAGCACAGCAGGCAGATGCTGTGGGGTGACAGTCATTGGCTGACTGATCTGTGAACACCTGTGAAAGACCCTTGGGTATTCTCTGGTATAACCGGTTGAGACTTGGAAACAATGGGCAGGTGGGAACAGAAGCCAGGGCAATTTAACTACAACGCATCTTTATCCATAGGGTGGTGGGGCCTGAGGAACCTGGTTTCTTACCTTTTCAGCATCACTTATGACTCCTCCAACACAACCCCCCTATGCCAATAGGTCTTTCCTCTAATCTTGAGAACACCAGATTCATTTCCACATGTATTCTTTTTTGCCCCCCGAGATGGAGTCTTGCTTTGTTGCCCAAGTTGGAGTGCAGTGGTGAGATCTTGGCTCACTGAAACCTCCACCTGCTGGGTTCAAGCAATTCTTTTGCCTCAGCCTCCTGAGGGGCTGGGATTACAGGCACACGCCGCTGCACCCAGCTAATTTTTGTATTTTTAGTAGAGATGGGATTTCACCATGTTAACCAGGCTGGTCTTAAACTCCTGACCTCATGATCCGTCTGCCTCAGTCTCCCAAAGTGCTGGGATTGCAGGCGTGAGCCACTGTGCCCAGCCACCATCTGTACTCGTTTGCTCATATTGTCCAACTATCTACACATCCCTTCTCCCATGCTTATTGTATCTCACCTGAGCAATCCTCCAAGACCCACTCCTATTTGCTATCTTTGTTTCAACCAGTCCCTGCCTCTGCTCTCAACATCTGCCACACTGCATTATCATCCACTTAGGCACTTAATTGCATGCTGTCTCATATCATTATTTCAATGTTTCCCAAGTATTCATCTTGCTTGCCTAACTTGACTGGTTCCCTCTGAGTTCAGGAACTTGGTCATGAATATCTGCTGTATTTTCTGCATGAGCCTTTATGCTTCCACAGATGGTAAAGGTTGATACCTACTGAATGGGTGGATAAAGAGATAGAACATAAATGTGGTGTTGGCACACTTCTTTATATATAATTCTGCCATAATGGCATCACTGATTTCTCATTATAACTCAACTTGTTTTGCTAGACTGGAGACAGACTTTTCTGATGTGTTCATGCTCTTACTCCATCACTGGAAAGGTATACAGTAGAGGGAAAATGCAAGTATACTGCCTACATAAGCTTTAGGAAGTCAAGCGCTATCACTTTATCCAGTTTGCCACACCAGAAAGAGGGAAATAATAGCAGTAGGGGCGATGGTAATGATTAAGAGGCATTGTGGTGATTGCTTCGCACCATCCATAGGCTGTTTGTTTGTTTTCCTTAGCTCCTCTCAAAGCACGTGGACTAACAGACTAATGCAAATGAATCAGCATAATTCCTTCTCCTGCTACTGTTATTGGTTCAGGGTGGGCGCTTGCCCCAACCTGAGGCCAAGGAGTATAGGGAGGATGTTTGCTTGCTTCTTCTGGGAAGAAGCATTTTTACTAAGTGAGGCTTTCCCAAAGCTTTGCTTTTTTTTTTTTTTTTTTTTTTTTTTTTTTTTTTTTTTTTTTGAGACAGGGTCTCACTCTATCACCCAGGCTGGAGTGCAGTGTTGGGATCTCAGCTCACTGCAACCTCCACGTTCCAGGCTCAAGAGATTCTGGTGCCTCGGCCTCCCAAATAGGTGGGACTACAGGCATGAACCACCACACCAGCTAATTTTCGTATATTTTAGTAGAGATGGGGTTTTGCCATGTTGCCAAGACCGGTCTTGAACTGCTGATCTCAGGCAATCCACCCACCTCGGCCTCCCTAAGTGCTAGGGTTACAGGCATGAGCAACCACGCCCAGCCTTCCAAAGCTTTAGATGAAGCTGACACTGTGGAAACCTTGGCAGAAGATTAGAAAGAAACAAGGTCCTGGTGGCATTGTTTAGCAGGCAAATCAATGTATCCCTAAATTCCAACATCCAACCTAAAGTTAAATGAACTTTACCATCCAAGCCACTTAGAATTGGACTTTTAGTTACTTGCAAACAATTTAGTTATTTGCAACCAAATATAACTAACGCATATGTAATAACCACAACGATAATAATATGTGCACTACAAACTCACAGAGTAATTGGGAAAGTAAAAGCTAATCACAGATGTAAAACTGCCGTGCCTGCTTTATTATGCAAATATTTGTTGCTGAGAGCCTCTTGGTTAAGATACCTTCCCGCAAGAGACAAAACTTGAAAAGAATCTTAATGTGGAGGACTTGGGTTGTTCATATGGGGATTTAAAAAAAAGTCTCAACAGTTTATCAGAAAGCTTAAGACATTAAGATTCAAGCTGAACAGAACAGGAAATGTGGCAGATACTGTACATGACAAACTTTCTAGAAGGAAATGATTTACATAAAAGCTGGTGCCCAGCACAGAGTAAGTGCTAAATAACTCTGTTTTTAAATGTTATTTGAAAAAGAAAAAGAAAAAAAGATTAATCATCCATGGTACAAAATTTAAAAGTTACATAACTGTGGAGTCTTGCATCTTCCCTGACCCCCACCCCCAGTTATCCAATATATTTTTCCAGAATTAGTCTGTTCATAACATATATATATATATAATTTTTTTCTCACAAATGTCAGCATCCTATACACTGTTCTGCATTTTTTTTAAATCACATAATGTATCTTGAAGGTCTTTCCATATCAGTGTCTAGAGAGCAGTCTATTTAAGAGCTGCAGAGAACATCAAGTATGGCCCAATCACAATTTATGTTTCTACGAATTTAACGGGTTTTATTGTTGGACATTTAGACAGTTTCTGGCTGCTTGGGATGTCCAACAATGATGTAATGATTATCCTTGCAGGGACTTCATTGCACAAAACCGGAAGCCTATCTGCAGGATAAATTCTGAGTTGCGGAGTTGGTGATTTACAGGGCAGAGGTACAGTCGCTTTGTCTTAATTTTTGAATTCACGAATGTTGAATTTGATGAATTCGTGGGAAGCCCCGCGGGGCGCCTAAACAGCTCTCCAGAGGTTGCGGTTGTCACGGATGACTGCGGGACCCGCAGACTGAGTCTCCCGGTGCTCCGCCCCGCCGCGCCCCGCCGCGCCCCGCCTCCCGTCCCACCGCCGACCCGCCCCTGCGAGCGCCCGGCCAGGAGCCCCTCGCTGGAGGACCAGGCACGTGCGATTCCACGTGAGCCTCCCGGGTAGCGCGCAGATGGGAAGTGCGCATGCGCCTGCCGCCGGAAAGTAGGTCAGACTCCTCCTCTCACGTGACCTGCTCCCCTTAGCTACCCTCGGCGCCTCCCCGCCAGCCGCCAGGGAGCAGCCGGGATGCGCTCGCAGCCAACGTGACGGGGCCGGGCGCGGGCGGCTCGGCGAGCGCCCAGCGCCCGCGAGGATTTGCCGGTTCTCTTCCCACCCAAGCGCTCCGCTCAGAAGTCGGGCGGGCAAAAGGGAGCGCCGCGCGAAGTATCTGGGAGCCGGGCTGGAAAATGAATGGGGTCAGAAAGCGAGCTCAGATCGCTGATATCTGGCGCAGGGCTGCGTCCACTTTCAAGCTTTCTAAGGCAGATCTGCCTGCAAGAAGGAAACGCGCATCGCCTTTCAGTATACATGAATTCACACCGATCGTTTGCACGTTTGCAGTCCCAGTTTGTGCACTATGTAGAACAACTCGGGCATGAAAACGAACTTTGCAAGAAGTGGAATGCTGATGGTTCCTGGAGTTTTGCGGGAATATTCCCCTGGCCCCAGTTCTAGTATCCCACTCACTCCCTCCCCAAAGACACTCCTACTAGAAAGCTTGATTTCCTACCTTCCACAAGAGACTTGAGGGGCAATGTTGCTGCTGCTGTTGCTGCTGGCGACTGGAGAGGGTTGGGGAGCAGGAAATGAAGGCAGGTCTGAATTAGCTGAAGCTAAATTCTATATATCAGAAATAATTTTATTTCTTCACCTTTGCTTTCTGATTTTTAACTTGTTGCACAAATGACAGACTCCGCCTCAGTGAATTGCAATCCGTTGGGGACACTAACTTGCAAAATTAACGGGTTACAATGCAGTGGGCTTTACATGTTTTAATAGAGGTGTGCCTAGGTGTTATATAAGCTCAGTGGTGGGTACCCTGAGTCTTGAAGACTAAGTGGGAGTTAGCTGACAGAGGAATAAGGCAGAAGGGGTGGAAAGTGTTCCAAACAAAGGGAACTACTAATAGTTACATAATATTTCCCCCAAGAAGTTTTTACTATACATATCTTAGCCATGCATATGGTTGGAATATGTGTTGTTTGGTTTACATTTATGTTATTCTAAGACAGTCTTGAATGAACATTGTTGTGCATGAGGCTTCCTCCCACCACTTTTAATAACCCCTAGGAGTTGGGATTGCTATATAAAAGATACAAACGTTTTGTAACTTTCGATAAAGTATTGTCAAATTATTTTCAAAAAAAAAGTTGAACTAATTTGTACCAATATTTAGCCTTCAGAAGGAAAATTGCCCATTATTTATTTCAAATCAATGAAGCCATGTGAAATTAACACTTGATTCACTAGAACTCCAGAATCATGATAAACATGCATTTCTGCTTTGTATTCAGGTTTACAAATTGGAAAATATCAGATCTGTACATTTAATTCGTACAGGGAACACCCAGCATGGACAAGGCGGGAGTTGGGGACAAGAGTGAAAGTGGTACAAACTAAAGCCTCACCAAATGCCTGTCTCTGATTGCTCCTTTCTTACCGTACATCAAGGGTGAAAGAGAAAGCAGCTCACACAACCCAGAACAAGCAAAGAGGTTTTCACACGCCTCTGCAAATGTCAAAATCAAAGGGACCTAGGGTTTGACCCAAGAGGTCACTTTAACTTGCAGGCAAAAAGCTGATCAGGTGTTGGTGAATTTCTGGAAGCCTGCATGCTTCCTCAATCGATTTCTGTTGGCATCTGTACCTGCAAGAAAAAAAAACAGTACTGTGAAGAATGTATCTTGGTTTTTGCCTGTATTAAGCTAGATCATTAAGGAAATCTGAAGCATGGGACAGAGTTATAACTTTTCAAACACATGGCTGTAGCTCATACTCTGGCCATTTTCCTAATATCTATCCTTCACCTTGCATATCAATCTTATTATTTCAGCTGGTGGGGGTGCTTACCTCCTCTCTGAGTTCAGGGGTTTTGGACTTGACCAAATTAACAAATAAGGGATTGCTGTTTGTTTTGCTTTGTTTGGGTTTTATGTTTGTTTATTATTTGCTTTTAAAATTTTATTATAATAACATTTAACATGAGATCTACCCTCCTCAAATTAAGTGTAAAACAAATTATTGTGGATGGTAGGTGCAATGTTGTACAGATTTCCAGAACTTATTTATTTTGTTTGACTGAAACTTTATGCCCAATGATTGGTAACTCCCCTTTTCCTCCTCACTCCAGCCCCTAGAAACTACCATTCCACTCTTTGAGTCTTTGAATTTGACTATTTAAAATTCCTCAGCTAAATGGAATCATGCAGTGTTTGTCTTTCTGTGACTAGCTTATTTCACTTAGCATAACATATGCAAGCATCTATCTCATTTCATATTGCAGAATCATGCGGAAGATGCACTTGGAAGAGTGCCTTGCACATATTAAGGGTACATTAAAAATTAGTTGTTATTATTATTAGGGTTACAATGACTGACTCAATCAGAGGAAAGCCTGGACTTGTTATAGTTACTTGATGCCATCCTTTCTTCTTGGATAGAAATAGAGAAGCATGTATAACTACTGATGCCATCTTTCCACATTGAGAGGAACCAACCCAACCACACGCCTGATAAATAGGGAGAAGCAGAGGAAGCCACACCCTGATCAAACTGCACTTGAAGCCTGTACTACCTCTTGACCTTTGAGCTGTTTGAGCTAAATGCATCCCATTTGTTATTTTAGAATTGGGTTTTCGGGTATTTGCCAACACAGACATCCTGATTCCTGGCCTTCATTTTATTTTTTTAGGCAGGGTGTTACTCTGTCACCCAGAATAGAGTGAAATGACATGATCTCAGCTCACTGCAGCCTTGACCTCCCAGGCTAAAGCAATCCTCCCACCTCAGCCTCCCAAGTAGCTGGAACTATAGGCGTGTACCACCATGCCTGGCTAAGTTTGTAGAGACAAAGTTTTGCCATGTTGCTCAAGCTCAAGCAATTTGCCCACCTTGGCCTTGAACTCCTGGGCTCAAGCAATTTGCCGTTGGCCTCCCAAAGTAATGGGATTACAGGCATGCACCACCATGCCTAGACCAGGTTTTCATTTTCATTTTAACTAAAGGGTCGAAATGATGACACAGACACTCCATTTTGAGCATGCAGTTGTTAAAGAGTGGAATTAAATTTCACATCCATATCAAATGAATGAAACATCCAATGTATTAGTTTGCTAGAGCTGACATAACAAAGTACCACTGACTGGGTGGCTTAAAAAAAGCTTTATAGTTTTACAGTTCTGGAGGCTAGAGGTCCAAGATCAGCACATCAACAGGGTAGGTTTCTTCGGAGTCTCTCCTGGCCTTGTAGATGGCCGTCTTCTTCCTGTTTCTTCACATGGTCTTCCCTCTTCATGTGTCTTTGTCCTGATTTCCTCTTCTTGTGAGAATACAAGTCATATTGGATTAGGGCCTGCCCCAATGACCTCGTTTTAACAAAATTATCTCCTCAATGACCTTATTTCCAAATATAGCCACATTCTGAGTACTGGGAGCCAGGACTTCAACATATGAATGGGACAGGGGAGGGGACACAATTCAGCCCATAACATCCAACAAGGCATTAATGATATGATATGGATGATTTGATACCAGAACTTTACCCTGATACAAATGTTCTTCTCCAGGTTTTTGTTTAGGGGCTAGAGAAGGAAGAGAGATTGAGAATAGGAAAGCTCCTCTCTGAGAATGGATCCAGAAAAACAGCATGTAATGAAGATTTGGCTAAGCCTACTCTCAAATATCTGTTCTGGAAGGACAATTCACATTGATAACAGGAAAGCTTATATAAAAATAACTTTGGTTATTTCACTTTTTGTGAGCCTCTGTGAGGACGGGCAACTTTGCTGAAGAATCTGTTACAGGCTGATCTTTTTTTCTCTGTTAACACTTCTTAGCTAAAGTTTTGGTGTTTTATTGAAGAATGGAATCTCATTTCTGGACATGGTTGAACAGCTGTTTCTGTGTTCTTTCTAATTTCAGTGAGGCAAGGTTCCAAAAAGGAATAGAAAGCTTGGTTTGCATTCTGGAGTTGGCCGTGGAATTGAATGGTTTGTACTGTAGGAAAAAGCTGTGTGACAAAGAAGTCACTTCCCCACGTTGGGCTCAGTTTCCCTTAATGTAAAATAAAGCAGTTGGACTCCATGATTTCAATGTTGTGTCCATCTATTCACCATATGATTAAATGGAAAAAAAAAAAGTATTTTGGTTTATTTTTTGGTCTTTGTTAGTAAAAACTGAGGCCGGGAGCAGTGGCTCACGTCTGTAATCTCAGCCATTTGGGAGGTTGAGGTGCGCGGATCACCTGAGGTCAGGAGTTCAAGACCAGCCTGGCCAACATGGTGAAACCCCATCTCTACTAAAAACACAAAAATTAGCCAGGTGTGATGGCACATGCCTGTAATCCCAGCTACTTGGGAGGCTGAGCCACAAGAATTGCTGGAACCTGGGAGGCGAAGTTTGCAGTGATCCGAGACCGCGCCACTGCACTCCAGACTGAGTGACAGAGCAAGAATCTGTACCCCCACAAAAAAAGTCCCTGCATTTATCATTCCCAAAACCCTTTCCTAGCATTCAAGTGTCTATTAAACTCCATCTACATCAGGTATTCATGGCAGACAAGTAAGGTACATTTCTCTGAGAATCAGATGATCCATATCTCATCCATTGTTGAGAACATCTGCCCATCTTTATCTCACTGCATAAACTTGTTTTTCTTCCAGTGAAGAAAGAGACAGGGAAGAATAACTGTTGGTAGTGGGAGCCAGCATTGGAAAGAAAATATTTCATTGTTGCTACTGAGTGTACTAAAGATACACACCTGGCTCCAGCCCAGAGGTTTGTAACCAGGGAAGCACATCAAAATTACCCATGAAATTTCTAAAAGCACATGTCTGTAACTCTACCTCTCAAAATTTTGAATCAGTAAGTCTGAAGAAGGGCCTGAATCTGTAGGAAATTCCTACAAATATAATGGTATAAGTTTGGTCTAACCATTTCCTCATTTCCATTAATTCATTCCCAGGTCCTTTTAGTCAGTTATACCAAAACATCTTGTATTGCATATTATTGGAAATATACCTATATTTAAAAGGAGCAACTCTTTCTTTCCCAAAGTTACATATTAAGTGTTTTAGTTGGTTGTAAGAAACAAAATTAAGTACTCCAGAAAATTTTACCTGATTTGCCATCCAAATGCAGTTAGCATTTCTGAAACTAGATATAATGTTTTGCTACAGAGATTATGTATTGTAAACAGCAACAAAAACTTTCTATGGTATTTGCAATAAATAGAGAGTAATATTTGATATCAGTGTTCTTTGTTAAATCACCGAGGTACATTCTGAAATTACAGCCCTAAAATAATAAGAGACTTGATTCAGCCAACCCTCCTGGTGGGTTTATTTAAGCAAATTGTATTTGTTTGCTGAACTGTGAATTAAACAGGTTTTAACCTTCCATTCCTTCAGACTTGCATTTCTGTAGCTGCATATGGAATTTGTTCGTATTAGACTCTAGTTAAGAGCATTCAGGAAGAGAAAAAGAGGAAACATTACTCAAAGCACAGAAAAACAAAGAATTGCCCATTTCCTTCAGAAGTCCAGTTCTTAGAGCAGTAGAACAAACCAAGGTTTTGCAGTTAAACAGAACAGCCTTGGCCCCTAGCTTCCTCTTGCCACTGTCAGTCTACATGTGCAGCTCTCCTTGTGACTTTCCCTTCAGGACTCTTATCTGAGCAATGGTGGTAATCACACTCACATGGCAGGTGGCTGTGAGGATCAGAGTAAATATGATGCATGTGAAATGCCTGGCACATAATCGGCACCCTCAAATAGTTGCAGGCATCATTTTTATTATTTTCTTAGGAAAAAAATAGATGTAAACAAGCCAGGATTTACTTTTTTTTTCATAGTTTTATATTGATGAGATAAATTCAAAAAGAATTTGACTAAATTTGGAAGGCTCATATTTGCCTCTTTGTAAATAGAGATGCCAACTCTGAAGTGGCTGCTTGTCTATAGATGAAGCACAAAATGTTAAGGTGTATGTGACATTTTCAAAGGCATCAAAAGAAACCCTTACAATGCCTTTGAACTACACATTAGCTGTGAATTGATGGCTTCACTTGAAATCTAATGAAAACTCAAACTCTCTAGATTTGAGTTGCTGTTACAATTTGGCACAATCTTTTTGAATGTGGGGGAAATGTATCCAAATAGGACATGTAGTGTTTGAAATGTCTCAGGTCTTATAGAACCTAAGATTAGTAAATACAAAGCAGGTGGCTATGAACTGTACCTAGTTGTTGTAAGGGAATGGGAGAAGAAAACTGAGCCCTTAAAAAGATTAACCTATTCAGGTTCTGAACCTGCTTGGGGACACTCATATATCAACCTAAGTGTCCAGATAAGTGGAAGAAGAAAGGAAGGAAGGGTTGTGATACTAAGATCAGATATTCAAAATCAAGGGGAGATTTTATAGTTATGAATGGTCCAGTCCCCAAAGAAGATATAACTATCATAATTTTTTGTACTAACTAACATAGCAAAAAAAAACACAACTAATATAGTTGAAATAATATATATATACCAGCTGTTTCTTCTATAAATAGAGAATACATTTTAAGTGCTGAAACATTTGTAAGAATTACCTTTTTTCATAATTTTGTATCAGTGAGATAAATTCAAAAGGAAATGGACTAGATTTGGAAGGCTCATTTTTGCCCCTTTGTCTTACTATGTCCCTAATATCACATACTGGGATGCAAATAAACATTTGATAAATTATCAGATATGGGTATAGTGTTATCAGTGGTTGACTCTGAAGATGAGGTTCCAAGTGATCTTGATTTTTTTGCGTTCTTTTATATTGTTTGAATATTTTATAACCAACATTTATCATTTCTATAAGGAAAAATAGGTTCTTTTCATTAAAAAAAAATACCTACTATTCCTGAACACTTAATATGTTTAGGTGCAGATATTAAGCATGTGTCCTGATACATTTCATTTCATTCTCACAACAGCCTCTGAAGTAGAATTGCAAAGATTGATAGCTTCTCTCCCCACACATGTCTTTTCTCTACTACTTCTATAATCATAGAGGATTTAGGTAGGCATGTGCCACCCTGCTGAAGACTACATTTCCCAGCTTCCCTTGCTGCTAAGTGTGGTCATAGGATGATTAATTGGATGTGAGTAAAAGAGATGTGTTCAATTTCTGCTCCTTCTCCACCTTTTAACCTTTCTTGCTGCTAGAACATGAACCCAGTGAACATGGTCATGAACCCTAGTCAACAAAGCTGAAGACAGCCACCCTTTAGGAGATGGAGACTAACAAGAGAGAAGAAACCTGTGTGCCTAGTACCATGGAACCCCAGAGCAGCTGTGGACTGTTTATAATCAGACCGTTATGCAGGGAGAAATAAACTTCATATTGTTTAAACTGTTACTTTGGTATCTGTTAAAGCAGTAAAATTAATCTTGTTATTTTACATTGTGTTGCTTTTCTTTCAAGAAACATAACATGCACATTATGTTTTACAATGATAATTATTAAAAATATTTGGACTTTATTTTAGGTTGAATATATTTTAATGCTCACCAATAATGCTTCTATGCCTCAACATCATAATCATGCTCAGGGCCCCTAATGATATCTTTCCATTCCAGAGAAAACTTACAGATGATATTTTTCCACAGTTCTTACATGCTTGAATGACAATTTGACTGCTTTTAGAATTCTTGAGTCATACTCTTTTCCCTTTAAATCTCTAGGGATTGCTTAAAAAAAACATCTACTGGGCTAAAGGGAGAGTTGAGATATTTGAGAGCAGGCTAATCATTTCTTCTTTTAAAATAACCAACTTTTCTACTAGGATGCCTGTGGATTGTAAACTCTAGATAAACAACATCATAAATGTGACAGCATTGGTCAATATTTAATCATTTTTAAAGAACATGGTAGCCTCTTCAATGTGTAGATTTCTGGTTGCTGTCATTCTATTTCCTTATTATATCATTTAATTTTTCTTTTTATTCAGTTACCATCTTCAGAAACATCAACTGTTATCTAACTGATTCATCCCTTCAACAAGTGTTAAGTAAATGTTGACTTTCAAGTGCTGGTTCTTAATATTACTGTGTGCCAGGCATTGTTCTAGGTACCAACACTAGAATAATGAACAGGATAGAAAGCATTTCTACTCCATGGAGCATATCTTTTAGTGGCAAGAGAAAATAAGCCAAGAGAAAAACTAAGCAAGATAATTTCAGATAGAAATATGTTTTAGGAAGAAAAATCAGGGTGATATGATAGCATGACTGCCATGGACCTGCGGATTAAGGAAACTTCATTGAGCTGAACCCTGAGTGACTTGAA